ATGTAGCACTTAGAGATGCGTTTAGAAATGCTACCTTTTAGGCTCGGTACATTTACGAGCAAAATGCCCTAATTCTTGGCAATTGTAGCACTTCATTTTACTCTTGTCTCTCTTCTTGAAAAACCATTTTCCTTTCTTGGAGTTTGGCTTATTCTTTTACTTAGAGGGTCCTTCTCCAGTCTCTTTGTCTTTTTCATTTCTTTTCCAATTTTTCTTGCGCTTGAAACCTGAAGATTTTGTACCATTTGACTCTGCCACAAAGGCATTAGAAGCAGCTTTAGCAGCACCAAGGCGCTCATTTTCAAGTTTAACATAGCGTGCAATATCAGAAAAGGTTTTGATGCTATCATTATGGGTCAAGTTAACCTTCAAATGTTCCAATTATTGGGAAGAGACCGAATCACTGCTTGAACTTGTTGTTGATCTGAAAGAACATGGCCAGCACTCTTGAGTTGAGCTATCATGTTTGACATCACCCTAAGGTGTTGTTTGATATTTTGATCATGACGTTTTTTGTAAGTGTCAAATTTGATAGTCAACTGTCGGAGGTGGGTTACAGACGTACCCCTATACATTCCTCGCAGATGTGCCCACATTGCATAAGCAGTAGAAAATTCCTCACATTCATGTATGAGATCATCAACTACAGAACTAACTATTATTCCACGTGCAGTGGAGTTAGCCTTCTTCCAAGCTTTGTAAGCTTCAAGACCCCTTCTGTGTTGTGCAGTATTGCCCTCTTCTGGTTCATTCAAAACATGATTTATACCTTCCAAAGCATTTTGCTCTTCCAATAACATACCATATTTTACGACTCCAGATGTCGTAATTATCACCGTTAAGTTTTTCTACCTTTGTTTAAGTCTAACAATGATACTTTTGATGCCATGTCTGTTATTGACATATAATTAGGCAAGTAATTTTAATCAATTATGCAATGTGACATACACATTTAAGCAAATTAATTCTCATAAAGATTTCATATTTAATGTAAAATCGAAAAGACACATATGCATCCAATCATCATCTACAAACTAAATATTTAATCAAGATTCAAATCTAATTTCTTAATGTGTATATTTAATATATTGAAGACTTTGATAACAAGGATTTTTAAGTCTAATAACATAATTTGAGAGAAAAACAAACTACATAATTCATATCTTGAAAAGCAAATAAGCAACAAAAGGTTACAAGTAATTCAAAGACTAAAATCCTCCCATAAGTCTTCAAGACAACTAATGTAAACCCTAAAAGGTTGACTGGGCCAAATGTCATGATAAACATTAGTCAATCTACGACCCCAAGGTTCACGGAGAGCGTCTGTGAAATAAGCTAAGGATCTCCAATATGAAATTTCCTTATAATCAGCTAGTTCAACCCATTTTATTTCAAAAAGGTGAATAAAATCACGTGCTGACGTATTAGGGGACATCTGTAATGACTCAAACTCCTTAATTTTTTTCTTTTTTCCCATTCGAATAGCCCTTTAGTTCCTTGACTGATTTTGTGTCGCCCTTGGGACACCAATCTGTACGATTTCACGCCCTCGAAAACATGTCTTACGACGACTTACTCTTCTAGTTTGTCCCTTTTCTCGACTTTGAGAACTCCCACTTGGAGTAGTTTGAGCATGTTTCCGTTCAACCATATCTGAAATGGGAACAAAGCGAAAATATGGTTAATACCATTTAATGCGACAACATATGTTACAAATTTTCGTAAAAGGCAAGGAATTGTTCAAGGAACATAAGGATTAAACTAATACTCAAGAACAATAAGATTCTAAAAGGGGACATATAAAAAAAAAATCCTAAATAGGACACTAATCTCAATAAATTTTTTTTTTTTTAAAAAAGCATTTTTTTTCCAGTTATTTGTTGAAAAATTCATATCTTGCTCGTTTTAAGTGGGCTTCCTTATTATAATATGTTTTCAGAAAGCTTAAAATGAGCAAATCATAAAAAAAATAAGTTTCCACCCAAAAACTGCATAGCGAATTTTCAGATTGCTCTAGACAGATGCAGTTTTTTGGGAACACAGAAAAAAATATCCATTTTTTTTAATAATTTGTATCTCACTCATTATAATTCCGTTTTTCCATTATATATGTTTTCGGAAAGTTAAGCACGAGCAGATTATAAAAAATAAAAAAAATTCCACCCAAACATCGTACATTCTATTTTTAGATTGCTATTAAACAGAAGCAGTATTAAAAATAGAATTTCTTTCTTAGTAGGACAAAAAATCCTATCTATTTTATGATTGAAAATCAAATAGGATTCTGAATCCTATTTCACATAAAATTAATACACATCTAAGCATCATGAAAATTATCATCATTCAATTTATTTTTTTTATTCACTGATTTTAAAAGACATAGAATCTATTTTATTTCTTATAAACATAGACAGTGAATTTTCAAATACGCAGCACATGATGGGATCATAAACAATGGCTCTTATACCATTGAAGGAATATTAAGGTATTCAACAACAAGCTATGTACCTTGTAATTTGCAGCAGAAGTCGTTGATCTGCTTCTTTGACATGATTGCACTCAAGTCCGTCTTTGAATCACTGGGAAACAAAGATCTATTCACAAACTAGAAGTCTTCTGCTATGTACCGATTGATTTGTCTCAGAAACTCAATTCTTTGTTTCTTACTGAATGCTTATTTTGGTTTTCTGTTTCACACGTTCTCCTCTCTTTACTTACACCTTTTCACATTCACTTTAAAACACTCCCATTAGGAGTCTTTTAAAAGAGAGGTTGAACAGTTACTTTGTAACTGTTCTGCCTTATCCTTTAAAAGGATTTATTCAATTAATTATTAATTAATTAATTTGGATAAGGCATGAAAAAGATTGGGTCGGGTCGGTCCACATGGGTGACCCACGACCCAAAACTTACACCAAATGAATCAAGTACATGAGTTGATAGATTGTATCTTGCTCAAAAGCAAATACTAATACATTGTAAAATAACTGAGAGTTTGAGACAACAAAAAATAAAAGTATGAAACTAAACCCTAAGTCAAAGACTTCATATATCGAATGATAAATATAATTTATTAATTTACTATTAGGTTATGGTTAACCTACTAAGAAAAAATCTTAAACCGTTAAAAATTGATAATTAAAAAAATCAAAATTGTTATCTAAACTACTAAACCAATAATTCATTATCAATAAATCAATAACTTTTTTTTAATTTGTATTATTCAGTTCGATTGCAAACAATCCTACCTTTTTTTTAGCAAGAACTCTCAATCGTTCGTATTCTATATCTATGAGCTACTTAACTGAAATGATGGTCGAGTTTTACTTCTTTGGTAGAAGCATGTTACAGAGATTACCCATTGCATACCAGGGCGAAGCTAGATAGATTTGACATGTTCAAATCTTTTCGATAAAAACATATATAATTTATTTATCGTAGGCTTACTTTCGTATTTTTTTGAACCACTTCACTAAAAGTATGGTCGTCACTAACACGTGATACTTATGTGCAAAAATTTGTTGTAAATATGTCTCACACTTGTTCTCTATGTTGACATTCTTGTATTTTACTTATTTCTTCATTCAGTAATTAAAGAAAGAAATAAAAAAGTTCTTGAACTGTAAAAAAATAATGAAAGATGAAATTGGGAATCTTATTGCCTTCATTGCTCCTCTATTTATACAAGTTTAGGATTACAAAAAATAAAAGAAAGAAAACATTTTCCTATACAGGTGTCTAAAGGTTATTGCTTAGGAAAATGACAACCTAACGTAATTGTACTAGTTCTAATCCTATATATACAGTTGTAAGGGAATTTAATCAGATAGCCAAGATATTGCCAGCACATTATTCTCTTTGTTTCCTATGATACATAGTCAAAATATACTTATTGGATGATTCTTAATTATCATAAATAAAATTCCTCCGTTCAAAGCAAAAAAAAAAACAATTTTTAATAACTTCTTACGAAATAACTACTTCCAAAAAAGACGAGAGGGAGTTGCTCGGATGGTAAGCACCCATCACTTCCAACCAGAAGGTTGCGAGTCGAGTCACCAAGGGTGCAAAAAGGGATGGGAGCTCCTAGGGAGGGTAAAAAATTAAAAACTACTTCCAAAAAAATTCAAAAAGAAAACCGCAATATTAGTTGATCTTGGAAGGGAATTCAACTCCTTTCCAATGGAAGTCGATAAAACTTGACCTCATGGAGGCTGGTATCATTGATGAAAAAGAATTATTTTTTATCAAATCGAGATATTTATTAAAAAAATAAATATAAATACCGACCTCATTAGATCAACTTCTTTAGAAAAAATAATTATAATAATCAACTTTTGGAAATCAATAAATAATTAATCTTAGATAATTTCATATTATTGTAAATTTGTATAGATGAAATTTAATCATAGTTGGATGTATATTTGAATTCTTTTATACCTTAAAATTAATTAAATGTCAATGTAGGGTCTACCTAAAATAGTCTGATTTTTTAACCACTATTTTTCGTCCTTTTTTGGAACAGCACTAAAGAATTTGTTACAGAAAATCAAAAAGATATTTAACTGGCCACACCATGACCATAATAAAATCATATAATAAAAATAAATTATCGTTTCAAACATACACTTTATCTCAATGATAAATATTCATACTATAGCTATTAAATTGCAAGAAATTACTGCAACGCTCTTTCAAATTCAATAATCATGACAATTATGAAGAAATAAAATTGGGCTTGAATTTTGTAGATCAAGGAGTGAAAAACGTTGCAAATCAAAGTTCGATTTTGGTGGAATGATCAATGAAACATTTCTAGTTTATTTGTTAGAATTTTAAGTGAGCCCAAAATTTTTTTAAAAATACAAAATACTTCCAATCACATATAAAATTTTCCAAGAATCTTCCAGCACCTTAACGTACACTTGATATGTTATATGTAGCTATTATTATAAATAGAGAGGTTCCAATTGTTATTTCATCAAACAAAAAATCTACAAAATATTTATAAGAAATTATCTTTCATGGCAAATATTACTATAGCTTTCTCCCCTTCACAATTATGTCTATGCCAAATTGGAAGCAAAAGAAGTATTCAAGTTTCATGCAGAAGCTCTAACAAATGGGATGTTCAAGAAGATCTTTTTAAAGAAACTTCTCATCTTCAAACGAGCTACTATTACGTAAGATTTTAACTTTTATAAATTGACAATATAAAATAATTTTACCCTATTATATTAGCTTTTTAAAAACTTATGTAAATTACAATCATACATGAAATATATCATCTGTGTATATAAGTTAAAAGATTGAAGTAGGTTGAGACATAACATTTCTCAAACCTTTTCCTCCAAAGTTTATGATTTTAGGTTGTTTCAAAATGTGAATTTTTGTAATAGAATCTAAAAATATTATAAACGTGTGAATATGAAGAAGCCAATTAGGAGATGAAATAATATCTTTTGTATCGTGGTTGTCTTTTCTAGTCATATTTTTCTAGCCATTCACATAGTATCATTAAACGATACAAATTTTTGAAAAAAATTCATAACGCGCGCGGGGTATATATATATATATATAAGGAAACCTATTTATACGATGTAATTTCCAATAAAGGAGTGTCAATACCATACCGTTGCACTATTAAGTTAAATCAATCATGTAATTCAGTAGAAAACAAATTATAAAGCAAGTCTGCAAAGTTCAAAACTTGAATTGGCACAATATTGCAAAGTATCCGCCCAATCAAAAATCCTTTTGATAACCTTACTACTAATAATACTAAGGGGAAAGATGCACCATAAATAGTATTTTTCCATTTTTTTTATACTAAGAAAATACTTACTAATGCAGGATGGATTCAATAGTACCAAATTTGGACTACTTGTGAAGGATGTAAAGTATGCACTAGGGACACAAATAAATAGTACTAACAATCTTGTTTTAGTGGATGCACTTCAACGTATGGGAGTTGAACACCATTTTCAACAAGAGATTCAATCAATTTTACAAAAGGAATATGAGCAAAGTGCTTGTTTTTACAAATATCAAAACCATCATGATATTTCACTTTGTTTCAGACTTTTGAGACAAGAAGGTTACCACGTGTCAGCAGGTAATTGGATTTCCATTGAAGTCCAATATATCTAAATTATTGTAGTACTACATTCACATTGTATATAAAAGTTAATCCTCGATTTGAAATATTTTAATCTAACAACCTTATATTGCATTGGGCAGATGTATTTAAAAGATTCAAGAACAATGATGATGGGACATTTGGATTAAACCTTAGCCAAGATGTAAATGGATTAATTGATCTATATGAAGCATCACAACTTGGTGTAGAAGGTGAACACATACTTGATGAAGTTGCAAATTATAGTGGTGAGCACCTAAATGCATGTCTTGCAAATAGTGACTCATGTGATGAAGCTAGAATTATTAAAGAAACATTGAAGTATCCATACCATAAGAGTTTAGCAAGTTGCAAGGCCAAAAGCTTCATCAATAACTTTAAGGGAATTAATGGATGGGGAAGAAGCACCTTACAAGAATTGGCAAATATGGACTACTCCATAACAAAAGAGATACATCAACATGAATTGGCTCAAGTTTCCAGGTATATTAATTAGTTGAATTTAACTATTATACACTAAGGGGCCGGTTGGTTACTGGTTAGAGTTATGCAGGTATTAGTTATACAGGGTTTAGTTATGCAGGTATTAGTTATGCAGGGTTTAGTTATGCATGTATTAATTATGCAGGGTTTAGTTATGCAGGGTTTAGTTATGCATGTATTAATTATGCAGGGTTTAGTTATGCAGGGTTTAGTTATGCATGTATTAATTATGCAGGGTTTAGTTATGCAGGGTTTAGTTATGCATGTATTAATTATGCAGGGTTTAGTTATGCAGGGTTTAGTTATGCATGTATTAATTATGCAGGGTTTAGTTATGCAGGGTTTAGTTATGCATGTATTAATTATGCAGGGTTTAGTTATGCAGGGTTTAGTTATGCATGTATTAATTATGCAGGGTTTAGTTATGCAGGGTTTAGTTATGCATGTATTAATTATGCAGGGTTTAGTTATGCAGGGTTTAGTTATGCATGTATTAATTATGCAGGGTTTAGTTATGCAGGGTTTAGTTATGCATGTATTAATTATGCAGGGTTTAGTTATGCAGGGTTTAGTTATGCATGTATTAATTATGCAGGGTTTAGTTATGCAGGGTTTAGTTATGCATGTATTAATTATGCAGGGTTTAGTTATGCAGGGTTTAGTTATGCATGTATTAATTATGCAGGGTTTAGTTATGCAGGGTTTAGTTATGCGGGTATTAGCTATGTGGATATTAGTTATGTAGGTATTATTTAGTTATGTAGAGATTACAATACATGAATTATTAACTATTATATTAAACTTGTAGTAAATTATTAATATATATTATTTACAAAATAATAATACATTTTAATAAAATGTGGAATATATTGAATAATATACAATGCTAATATTTTTTATTTTTTTTAATCAACATTGGACCATGTCCATTTATTCATCAAATAAAAATGTGTCCAAACAAGGTCCAAGAGTGACCAAGTCGGTCAACAAAATAGACAAAACAAAAACAACTAGAAATAATCTAATTTGGAAACAAAAAAATCCTAAACTGATAGAACAACTCCAGCATAATGCTAATATTTGATTAGCATATGTACCGTCAAAAAATATACAATCAAATCTCTAATATTAAAAAAATATTTATATTTGCATAAATCTAAAAACGGTAAATGTATAAAAAAAAAATTGAAAATAGTCTATATATAAAAAGAAATAAAAATAACAAACGTAGATAGGAATACAGTAAAGTTTCCAAATAAAATAAAATAAAATAAATTAAAAGAAATGAAAATAATCTATATATAAAAAGAAATAAAAACAACAAACGTATATAGGAAACAATAAAGTTTCCAATTAAAAAATAAAAAATAAATTAATAGGGTAAATATGTAATCTATCATTTTAATACATGTATAACTAATACCCACATAACTTATTCCACCTTCTACCCTGCATAACTTTATACATAGATTCCCTCATAAGTTATGTTGGTATTAATTATGTAGGACTATAAAAATGCAACCAAACACCGTATAAATTAATACATGAATAACTTTTATACAACATTTAAATTCTTACCAACCAAACGTGGTATAAGTTATGCTGACTTTTATACCTAACACAAAACTTCTACCAAACACAGTAAAGCTAATGTCAACTTTTTATACATGAATAAGATGTCTCTTATACAGTAACCAAACGACCCCTAACAATATAAGAGTTTTACACCATCAGATTACCTATAATTAAGCATTTAACTTATTTATACTGATATCGACTATAAAGGAGTTTGATACCATCATTATATTTTAACTTATTATAATAGGTAACTTATTTCACTTTCTAGGTTATTGATCTCATTTTTAGGGGACTTGATGTTACAAAAATCCTTTAACTATCTTTACATATAAAATTAAACTCAAAAAGCTATAGGTTATTAAAAAATTGAATTAATAACCTAAAATAAGACAATTTACATGCTACAAACAAGTTTAAAAGCACTAATCACCAGAGACAAAATCAGAATTTTAACCTTATGGGTTTTGAATTTAAAATGACGATTTCAAGTGTTAATAAATTAGGTTCTAAACTTAATATTTATCCATATGTAATAAAATTCTTAATACTAACACACTATTTGAGCAAATTTTATTGGATTTAATCGAATCCAGACCCAAACTTCTAGCTCCGCCCCTACTGATCACAAGTTCCTACAAGGTCTCGATTGAATATCAAAATGTCTTTCTCACTATTTAGAATATGGAGGTCTTGATTCAAATCTTTCTTCTTTCCGTTAATATATAATATTCAAAATCTTTATACTATCTATATATATATATAAACAATTTAATCTTCTTATGATATATATGTATACATACATAGGTGGTGGAAAAGTCTCGGTTTAGCTGAAGAATTGAAGCTTTTGAGAGATCAACCATTAAAATGGTATACTTGGTCAATGGCAGTCCTTCAAGATCCAAGAATGTCACAACAAAGAATTGAACTAGCAAAATGCATCTCTTTTGTTTATGTCATTGATGATATCTTTGATGTTTATGGGACTATTGAAGAGTTAACCCTTTTCACTCAAGCCGTCAATAGGTATTTTATTTGAGATAAAAATGATCTGATTGTGTAAAACGTCGTTATTTTTTTTTTGTTGGTCCATAACCTTAAAGGCTATTATTATTTTAGGTGGGAATTGAGCGCCATGGTGGACCTACCAGAATACATGAGATCACCTTACAAGGCTCTTTATAATACAATTAATTCCGTTGGCTATAATATCTACAAAATCTATGGACAAAACCCCACTCAAAATCTACGGAATACGGTACTATATATTCACATGTTTTATTTGCTTTGATACCCTTTTCGTTCACTTTTAAAAATAGATGTTTATTTTTACTTATATATCACTTAGTTTACTTATATATCACTTAGTTCAAGAGATAATTTATCACTTAGTTTCTAATTTACCCTTATTATTAACTAGTCATTTTTTTAATGTATTTTTCAAAATATTAAATTTATTATATTTTATATGACGTATTCGACTGAACAAAAAAAAAAGAAGAAATATTTTATAGATATAAGGGTATAATAAAATGAGAAGTCTAAATTAAGATAATTATATATATATACAAATAAATTATTTTCAATACTTTATTATATATTATTACTCATAATTGTTAATTATTATTTTTTTTGAATTTTAGTGGGGAAATTTGTGCAATGCATTTCTAAAAGAAGCAAAATGGTTTGCTTCTGGAGTGGTGCCATCAACAAATGAGTACCTAAAGAATGGACTTGTTAGTTCGGGAGTTCAAGCAGTCTTAGTTCACATGTTCTATCTCTTAGGTCTTGGTGTTAGTTCTATTCATTTGGAAGATGTATCAGCCATATCTTCTTCTGTGGCTACGATTCTTCGCCTTTGGGATGATCTTGGAAGTGCCAAGGTAACAAAAAGAAATTTCATCTTTACACGTGACATGTTTGTATCATTTTTAGAATATGCGTTGTGTGTGCAGGATGAGGATCAAGAAGGAAAAGATGGTTCATACATAGAATGTTACATGAAGGAAAACAAAGATACTTCCATTGAATTGGCAAGAGAACATGTGATTAATCTAATAGAAGATGAATGGAAGAAACTCAACAAGGAACATTTACATCTAATGAGTCCATCTTCAAGATCATTTTCAAAAGCTTCACTTAATTCTGCAAGAATGGTTCCTCTTATGTATAGTTATGATGATAACCAATCCCTTCCTATCCTTCAAGAATATATCAAGTCTATGTTGTATGGTGATTTATCAATGTGAACTACCTTTCCATGAACTTCCTTCTCGCCCTTGATTACAAAGCACCACAATCTAAAATTGTCAAAAGAAATTGAACATGATTGTTGCAACTGTTCATTCCTTAATTTTACAATCATTGATATCGTCACACAAAAATTTACTTACCAGATCGATGCGTTGTCGATCAGTCTCTTACTGGGCCGGCCTTACCGAGCTCTGAGCAAAAAGTATCCAGATCAGCCCAGACCACTAAGTAAGGGGCCCAGGTGTCAGTCTCAGGCTTACCGTACGCGGGCCGGCCTTACTGGGCTCTGAATAAAAAATAGAAAAAATTACAGAAATCTCACCTTTTAGTTTACTTATTACCATTATCCCCTATAAGTTTTATAAATTTCCAAAGTCCCTCATTTTCGCGCATCAGATTAGTGTATCAGCGCTTATATTATTGTATCTCGCGCATCAGATTAATGTATCAACGCTTATATTATATTATTGTATCTCGCGCATCAGATTAATGTATCAACGCTTATATTATATTATTGTATCTCGCGCATCAGATTAATGTATCAACGCTTATATTATATTATTGTATCTCGCGCATCAGATTAATGTATCAACGCTTATATTATATTATTGTATCTCGCGCATCAGATTAATGTATCAACGCTTATATTATATTATTGTATCTCGCGCATCAGATTAATGTATCAACGCTTATATTATATTATTGTATCTCGCGCATCAGATTAATGTATCAACGCTCAATTTGCCCTAAAAAATATCCGGACCGGCATAGTCCACTAAGTAAGGGGATCAGGTGTCGGTCCTGGGCTTACTGGACGCGGGCCGTTAGCGGACCGGTCTTACTGGGCCGAAATAGAACAGGTCGGCCCAATTGACACCCTTATTCTCTATCTCCTTGTTGAAGAAAATATCTTGGCCGAATACTTTCCTTAATTGATTCATACAGGGTGCTAAGAATATGTTTGAACTATGTAGTTCTTTGATATTGTATACATTTAGTGTGACACTACTCGTCAACAATTAAAAATAAATTAATTCTTGGGGAACTTTTTTGTGACAAAAAACAAGTTGGTGGTACCATAGATTATGCTGGCAGTAGACCCTATTTGAAAAGAACTTTTATATATAGATTTTACTTCTAAAATTTATGCATATGACCACTACAATTACTCTTATACATTTATGCTTCATCTACCTAGGGTTTGGAGGGAGCCCACAAATAATAATGTCTGAATTCAAAATATCAAATATATACATTGATAACTATTGCAAGTGGGAACAAAGAGAATATGATGTTGTGCAAATTTTATTTCTATTTTTACAGGATAAAGAGGTTGTTTGTAATAGCTAAACCTTCGGTAAAAAAAGAAAATCCAAAAAGGATATAAATTACTACTAATAAAAAAGAAAAAGGACATGGGCTAGCCCCTTCCTCTCCCAACCAACATATATTATGTGGTTATAAGTTCTTTAAAAGTGAATGTAGCATTATGACATCAATTGTTTTAAACTCAATATTTATTGTAGGGCATAATTTTGATATAATAATTTAATTAGATTTACATTTACAATAACTAATAAGTCTGAATTCACAATTTGAAAAATATGTAATAAATTTAATATTGAGATAGAAAGTTGAATCCACGTGATTCATATTTTGAATTAGACTCTTTAAATTCAAATGTAGTATAACAAAAAAAAAGTAGATCTATTATATTACTCCTTATTACTTGGTACTGTTTTTCTAATTTATAGTTAAGAAATAAAACATAAAGAAAAAAGTTAAGAAATTAATACTACTCTTTTATATTTAAAAGTTATTTCCTCCGTTTTATTTTTTATTTGGTCCCTCTATTAAAAATAATTATTTTTTTATTTGTTGATTTTAGCAAGTTATGTTAAGAGAATTTTTTTTGTCTCGTATTATTTTAGTCCCTATGCTTGGAAATAATGCATGTATTAACTTTGTGTATTATTATATCTTTTTGGTATACTTTTTTATCATGAATTTTCATGTATTAGTAATACAAGTAATTTCAAGTTTCAACACATGCATTAGATTGATTAATGACATAACAGATAACTACCCATCAAATCCCTCTCAAAACATTTTACATTTCTCAAAGCTAAAAAGTGTGAAGGGTATTTTTGTAAACAATTTTTTTTTTTTAAAATTATGCAAAACTTATTATTTTTAATACATCATAACAAATCGTAAATAAAAAGTAATGAAAAGTCGCAAAAACCTTCTTCATCTGACCATTAATATCTTAAAAGGTCGTTGAAGTATCAAAATTTAACATAGCAAAATAAATTATTTTTTTATATATCAAACTCTCCATTATCACAGAAAGTGAAAGTCAGGGTGGATGATTAGCTAAAAAAAAATAAGAAAATGATTAAGATTAAATAATAAAAGGGGATGTTTTTTCTTAATTATCAAAGTATCACTGCTAATAAAGTAGGTGAGAATGAATTAGATGTTGGGACTCTTTTTTTGTGATAAAGAATTTAGTGGTACATGCTGGAAGTAGACCCTATTGAATAGAACAATGTGTAAGACATTAAATTTTGAAATTTATATATATGACCATAATAGGCTCATATACCTAGGTGTTGGAGGGAGGAGAGCCACTCACACACATTTACAATGATAAATTCGATGGAATTTCACAAATAAAGTCTAAAGATGATAAAATGAATGCATATTTTATCTAAACTATTCCTTTTGTTCCAATTTATATCACATAGTTGGAATTTCAAAAGTTAACTAAATTTTGTTGATTATTTTTTTATGTCTTTTAAATATTTAAGTTATTAATTATTATGATTTACTGTACTTCACTCTTTGCATAGCTTTTAAATATACAATTTTATTTTGCAAAGCTTAAAATTTGTATATCCAAATTTACGATCAAAATTTAACGATTTAAATCTCAAAACTTCGATTAACACACATTAATTGAGACAGAGTACATCATTATTATTCCCTCCGTCCCATATTAGTTGATCACTTTTCATTTTGCACGATGCTTAAGAAATCATAAATAAAAAGACGACTTTACTAATTCACCCCTAAAAAAACTTCTTGAAAATTTCACAAACAAATGTGAACTCTTTCAAAAAGAAGTAATTGCAAGGATATTACATTAAAAAAAATTAATTGATGATTTCTTGATTTAGTAAGGTGATTAACTAATATAAATAACTATATTTAGTATAATAATCAACTAATATGGGACGGAATTTTATTGATGGTTGACAACCTTCCCCTCCCTTGGAAAAATCCTTCTAAATTCAACCCAGTCTTGGCCTTTTTGGCCCATATTATCTTGGGACTTAGAACTTCGAAATTTTAAATCCTCCTATGAAATCATGATTGAATGAGTGATTTATTTTGGAACTTTCATAGAACTGCACATTTCCCCTAAAAATAGAGTAGTGTTAGGTAAATTAGTCCAATTATAATTATTTAGTATTAATAAGATATAAGTAAGAAAATTATTATGAAAAAATATAATAAAGGAGATAAGTATATATAACATTATAAACCACAAAAGGAGGATAATGTTACAAAGTCAAATCTGAAAAGAGGTCTTTGAAAGTACTAGTAACTATTTTACGAGAAGTATGATCATTTCATAGAAAAAGGTTAAGGAGAAATTTAATTAACACTCTTTTTCACATACAAGTCTGAATTTTTTTCATGACCTAGACATGTGACACTTTTTAAAAATCACTTTTTTTCCACATAATTTCTCATTGGAAAATGTTCAGTGGCTATCCCTCAGATATTTTGATTGAGAATTGGTGAGAAAAGAAAAATAGTAATGTTTTCATATGAAAAACAAAATAGGAAATTTCCCACAAGTTCAGTCAGAATTTGTTTTCCACCATGCATTTTTTTAATGAACTGATTCGGTAAAAAATGAATGGAAAACTTATATTCTATAGCATAAATTTTTCAATAAATCACAGTAGGAAAACCTTGATATTACTGATGTTGAAACTTAAACTTATGTCTTTGTCTGATCCTATATTGAATATATTATTCCATCCACAAAGAAGTGAAACCACACATTATGTACAAAAACATGAAGAGACAGCTATCTTGACCACAAAGAATCTATTTGTGTGTATTTAAATGGACCACAATGCAATACATGTCTGAGGAGTTTTGAGCCTGAAATATTTAAATTAATTAATACTAACTTTTTAAACACTAATTTTGAGATGTAAGCTAAACATATTGATACAAGGTAGCATATTGTTGGAACTTCCTTTTATATGACATATGTATTATTTGAATCACTATATATACTTTCAATTGGCTTTGTGGATGGCTTTATATATTATCAATCAAATAGCTTTACATACTTTCATGACTAGTAGAAAACTATAATAGAAGTTTCAAGTTTGCTATTGAGCTATATATAGTTGGAATTAGCCAACTCTCACTGTTTTCTTTTAAGATTTTTTTAGGGGAAAAATTGATACCTAGTATGTTTAAAAATATTTTAACTTTATAATATATTATTTTTTATGAAATAATTCATAATTATATCAATATTTATAGCTTGTTTTATACTTTCTTGCATCATTTTACTTGTCATGTTTTTGTTTGCACGTCTATTAATAAAATATATTGGTATATGTATCACAAATTAAAGCAAATTATAGTTGAAAAACAAAATGATAAAAAATAAATAAATAAAATATTTAGATTGAGGTGCGGATATCTTACTCTCTTTAAGGAAATTAAACTCTACTGTAACATAACATACACCGATCCAGCAGTATATATCTTGAGTCTTGGCTTATCCCCTCTAGAATACAACATGAGCTCAACAACATCGTATAATTCAAACAACTCTAAATTAATTGAAGAGTTTAAAACTCAATCTAACAAAAAAACACCTTTCTTCAATATAAAATTACTCTCATTCGTATAGAAAATTAGTTAAGGGCTCACAATATTTTTCTTTGTCCAGCAAGAGACAAATCAAAAGGGGTAGTTGGGATATATTTATAAGAAACTAAAACAAAATAATTTTAAAAACTTTGAAATAGATGATTAACCAAGAAAGGAGTACAGTGAATTATGTTGGATTTTTAGATA